ACCGCCGCCGCCGCTGCCGAGAACGCCCGCAGGTGACATTGCTCGGCGTACGACTTTCCTGTCTTCCATTTGATTTATTTAGTCAAAGATGAGTAAAAACTGTATGTGACGTATGGGGGAGTGGTATCATCTGCGCATTTTTTTTGAGCTGCAGAATCTCCTCCCAACATTTTAACTATCAATAGTTGAAAGATAAATAAAAGTTAAAAATAAATAAATTTTAAAAAATTATAAAAAGTTAAATAATAGAACGCAAAGTTACCAACATTTGAAAATTTAGACAGACTGTTTCGCTCCCGAGTTATGTAAAACTTATTTGCATCTGTAAATAATGAATTTAATTGTTATTTTTTCTAACAAAGTAGTAACACCCCCCGGATCTAGCCCTAATACAACTAAGAAAAGGTGATCTCAACAAAACAGACTAGTGAAGCTACATTTACGTCCAGAGACAAAACAAGGGCCATCTCGGCATTTCCTCAATGGGTCAGGGAATTAAACAAACACCTAATCGAGTGGGGAGCTGAAACATATTACTTGTTATATTACTGGTGTATTCAGTTTTTCTAATGATTAATTATTAAAAATTTCTACCTGGCTTCCACCCACTATTTCTCTCTCTCTTTCTCTCTCTCTCTCTCTCTCTCTCTCTCTCTCTCTCTCTCTCTCTCTCTCGCCTATCACACACACACCGTCTCTCTCTCCAATCTTACAATATCTCCTCTCTTTCCCTCTCTCTCCCTCTCTGTACTGTCTCTTTCTTTCGCTTTCTCCACTTCTCCTCTCCTCCCCTGTCACCGGCTGAAGTGGTTCAGTGGAAGGTGGCAATATTTTCGATACCAGCTAGATAGCTACGTCAAATTCAGCCGCTGTCTTGCGAATTCAGCCACTACGCTTATGGAATACTAACTAAAGCAGTTGATGCGTTTAGACACGCGAAGTAGTCTATCATTCAATCTCTAATAGCCCCCTCTCTACCCCTCTTCTCCCCTCTATAACTCTCCTCTCTGCTGCTCCTCTTCTTTCTCCTCCTCCTCTCCTTCCTCTCCTCTCTTTCCTCTCCTCCTCTCTTTCCTCTCCTCCTCTCTACTGCTCTCCCCTCTCTCCTCTCCTCTTCTCTACTCCTATCCTCCTCTCTACTCCTATCCTCCTCTCTACTCATCTACTCCTCACCACCTCTCTACTCTAGGATTTTCGATGCTGCGCTGGTTAGATATCTAGGTCGTATTCAGCCTCTGGTTGAAGCGGTCGGCTGCTCACGAAACACAGTCCAATCAACACCACGCGAATGCGGGAGCAGTACACTAACAAACGGGCCACGAATCTGGCGCAAGCTCTCCTTCCTGTTCTCTATTCTTTTTTTAATCACACAATTACAGACATTACACCACCAATAATGTCGGGAGACTAGTCGGAAGCATAGAGATTGTCCCGGCTGGGGTGATGCCCCGCTGGTGGGAAATTGCTGGATGAGGAAAACCCCACTAGCCAATGTGTAGTTGGGCGCCGGATATCCTCACGGCAACCACCCGTGATAAAATCTGCACAACACGTATGGGATTAATTACCATAACCGTGGGCGCACCAGGACACAAAATAAACAATCCGTTGTCACTCCAGCCATTTTTATTTGTTTATTTTATACTTGCTAACCTGAAAGCCCTAGGTTTCAAGTGCCGATGGTGACGGACTTTTTAACATATGCTATGTAGCTAGATCGAATTCAACCGATGTCCGAAGAATAATTTTAACGGCCGGCTCCTTTAATCGGTAGTTTTGCGTGTTCTCTCCCACCAATGCAAGCCGGAATGCAAATGCCGGAGATGTCAGTGATATGTCACTGAGATGGCAATGGCAATATCCCCAGCCAACGACGCGGCGTCTCCCGGATAGCCGAGAATTCATGGATTCGAGCCGCGGAAGCTTACGTACAATGGCAATATCCATTGTCACTCCAGGCTTGCAATTCGATGGGCCGGGGTTCTTTACGACCGGCGACCGGGGTTCTTTACGACCTTTATTACCGGCCGTGGTTCGAATTACGACGGCAGATTATCGACATTAGCTTCGTAGCTAAGTCGATTTCAACCGCTGTCTGGAGGAGAATTCTAACGGCTGTCTTCTCCAATCAGTAGTTTTGCACAGTTTCTCCTATCAATATCAGATAAATGCCAGAAGAGCACCTTAACACACGGGTCCCGATTCGCGTACTATCGATTCTTTCTCATCCTAGTCCCCTCCTCCAATTTAACTCGCACTTACTTGCACTACTCTCCCAGACCCTCGGGAACGGCTCTAGAGGTTAGAGCTATTCCAGACTGGCGCTGTGCCTCAGTGAGGGATGCCTGGAAGCGGAAACCCCGCTTCTCAGCTTCCAGCGGGGGAAGAATATCGCCAACCTCCGTCTATTATATGTTCTACACTGACGGGGTTAATGACCATGTTAGCTAAAACGCAAGGAAACACTCAATCCTCGCTTACTCACTCGGGGCGAGTGGAGACATCGCGATATCCCCACGCCAACTAACAGTTCTTTTGATTATCCTGGGAAGGCGAACGGCCAAGCAGGGGGTTGATTTCATTGATTTATTCCTGGCGCGTCATCTGCTAAGATCATTAGTCCCGTACGTTTCGTGGATGTTTCTT